CGTACCACAATACCATTCTTTGCCTTCTTCTTGACAGGCGGAGCTTCACTGTCATTCTCCTCGTCTTCCTCGTCGTCCCGGTCACGACCTCGTCCTTTCCCAGGAGCGTGCCCATTTGTGAGCTTCTCTTCGGTTTCTCCAAACTCTCTGGAGACTGTATTGAGCAATGTGGTACAACGTCGACCAATCTCAACAGGCGTTCTACTGAGGAAGAACCAATCGAACCGGAACAGTGGTGATTCCCGGATCTCATCACGGATCCTCTCATACAACCCCTCCCCATCCACACCGTATTTGTCAAGCATGACCAGGAGGAAGCGGTCTTCTTCCTCTGTGTAGACCTTCTTGTTGGTCGTCGAAACCGTATAGTTAATCTTCAATTGTTGCAGCGGGACTCGGTACATCTCCATCTTCTTCCGCAGCATCTTTCGTTGCCGTTCAGTCTTTCGCAGCTTTTCTTCCCCCGCCTCGATGTTCTTGATATACTTGTCGAACTCGGCAATTTCCGTATATCTCTTCCAGAAGACTTTGGCATACTTTTCGACCTCGTCTGGTTCCTTGCTGTCGACTTCAGTCGCGATTCCTTCATAGTTAGTTCGGCCAAATTTGGCAGAACCGTTGATGAATTGCTGGAAATCACGCCGATTCCAGTTGCCGAACCCATGCTCCTGCATCTCTGCTTTGAGTTGTTTCTCTTCCTCGGTCAGCGGCTCCGCATTGTCTATCTCATTTTGAGCGAGCCGCTGATCAGCCTCCCGGTCGCTCAGGTCTTCTTCGGTACCATCTGTGAGGGGTACCTTGAAGCCGATTTCTTTGTGGTAATAGGCCGTCTCCTTTTCCTGGAGTTCTTGTAGACCCGGAGGGAAAAATTGCCAATCGTGCACGACGACCTGTTTTGGTGCGCGTGGAATCTTGGGTTTGGTGTCGGCCGGTCGTCCACCCGTCGACAAAGCCTGCTTGTAGTACTTGTCCATCGAGTACGACTGTTCCTTTCGTTCCCGTTTGCTAGGATTGATCCAGTGCAAGCTGATGTCTTTTTTGCGGTTGGTGAAATCTTCACCATTCCACTCGTAGGCATTCTCAGAGGAAAACTTCTGGAGGTCGTCGATCCCGAGTTTCTCATATTTGGCGCTCAATTCAGCAGTTCGAGCTTCACCACGTCGCAGAATCTCGTCAATGTCGTCAAGTTCTCCTGTGGTGCCCTTTGTTTCGAATACTTTCTCCGCGCCATGTTGGATCATAGTCAACAGCTCATCCTTTGAGGCAGCCTGCTTGACTTGCTGCTGCGCACGCCCTTGCTGAATGACAAGCTGGTCCAGACGTAACTTTTGAGCAGCTCTCTCAAGGACCTTTTCTTCAATGGCGTTTTCCGTTACGAACCGGAATACCACCACTTGCTTAGTCTGACCAATACGGTGTGCTCGGTCCATTGCCTGCAAATCTGCTTGCGGATTCCAATCGCTGTCGTAGAGAATAACAATGTTGGCCGAGGTCAAGTTAATGCCCAACCCGCCAGCTCGGGTGGTGAGAAGGAAGACAAACTTCTCCGAGCCTGGTTTGTTGTACTCGTCGATGGCGGCAATTCGATCCTCATGTGCGGTTCCACCGTCGATACGACAGTACTGATGACCTCGGAAAACACAGTAGTCTTCGAGGATGTCGAGCACTCTGCTCATCTGAGAGAATATCAAGACGCGGCTTCCCTCATCCTTCATTCGCTTGAGGATTTTGTCCAGGATTATCATCTTGCCAGAGTTGAAGACGAGATGCTCATCCGTGGTGTAGGGAGGGCCCGGCTCGGCGCCTTCGAAAAGATAGGGGTGATTGCAGCATTTTCGCAGCTGCATGACAATGTTCAAAAGTCTCGTTTTTGATTCTCGTTTGCCTCCTGCACCATTGACGGCATCAATGTCCTTTTCCAGAATCTTTTTGTACCATTTGACCTGCATCTCGGACATGCCGACGTAGAGGTTCACCTCTTTCTTCGGCAGCAGGCTCTTCTCAACATCGCTCTTCACTCTCCGAAGCAGGAACGGTCGCAAAACGCGATGGAGCTGTTGGACCACTGTGTCTTGGTCTTCATTCTGGCTAGAGAACCAGGAATCGAATGCCTCAGAGTCGCCAAATACGTCAGGCAGCAAGAAATTGAGGAGGGCCCACAGTTCGTGCAGATTGTTCTGGAGGGGAGTGCCGGTGATTAATAGTCTGTTTCGCGAGCTAAACATCCGGATTATCTGTGCAAGTGAGGACTCTTCGTTTTTAATTCGATGGGCTTCGTCGACAATGATGTATTCCCACGCAAATTTCTTCAGGTGAGACTTTTCTCGAAGGATCATCTCATAACTTGTAATGCATACATCGAATTTCTCGTCAATCAAGCGTTCATTGATCAAGGCATGGCGGTCTTCTTTTGCGCCCTGTAGGACCAAGACATCGACATCAGGGGTCCATTTCTCGAATTCTCGACGCCAATTGTCGAGTGTGGACTTGGGGACTGTGATGAGATGTGGACCTTTTATGCCACAGATGTGTCGCAAGTACCCGAGGAAGGAGATTGTCTGCAGTGTCTTACCAAGACCCATCTCATCTGCGAGGATACCACTAATACCGTTCTCGTGGAGAGAAATGAGCCAATTGAGACCTGCAACCTGATAGTCACGCATCTCGCCACCCTTGATAAAGGCCGGCGAGTCTCTGAAGACAGTCTGGGAAGCGGTGCCGCGCTTCTCATCTCTGAGGAGTTCAGCATCCTCCTCCTGTTCCGTCTTTCGCTTGGCCGCACCGGCTGCGCCGCCTTTGCGGGACACGACCTTTCTGGCCTTTGCCTCCTCTTCAGCATTTTCTTGGTCGATCTGTTGCAGAACCTCTCTGATCTTGGGATTCGGACTGGCATCAATGAAGTGTCGGAAGAGGTCAGTCAGGCCTAGCAAGTACTTGAATCGCCGTAGGGTATCGTCCTCCTTGGACTCGTCCAATTGGCCATGTTTCTTTCCCAGAATGCTTTTCCGGAGCTGGAATGCTTCCGAGCGCTTCTTCCGACCATCAGCCAGTGGAGTATCTCCTGCTACGCTGGAAGCGGTGGTGTTGGGATTTGTATCGGAATCGGTGTAGTCGGGGGTATCGTCAACGGGGCGATTGAGGTGACCAAAGGACGGTCTATGGGGGCGTATGTAGTCAGGACCGTCGGTCATTGGAGTTTCTGCTACAGACGAGGTTTCTGAGTCGGGCTGTTGTGGCTTTGAAGGAGCCATGGTGGACAGGGTTGAGGGGTGTGGCCGCCGCGGCCGTGGCGGAGGGAATAGTTATAGTTCAGTGAATGTAAATAGTTCTGACGCGACTTCTGCTGGTGGAAACAGGAAGAATCCTGGGGTGGCGCGAAGCAGAGCAAAGCGCGATGGCAGCGTGTCGTGCAGGCAGAAGGAGAGTTGTCAAACAGAAGGATTGACAAGAATAAAAAGACATGGAGGGAGGGTGTGGAGAGAAGAATGAACGTCTCTACCATGCCTGCAAACGCGCTGCGATTGCCTCTGATTGGCCACAACACGTCCATGGTTCGGCTTAGATGCCCTGTTGATATCTCCACGTGACTTGGATTTTTTCGTAATCGGATCAACACATCCACCCGAGCCACAGTGTCACGGGGACTGACACTTCACATCTGCTCCCGGGTCCTGTTTCATTCCAGCTGCCCAACCACAACTACTCCTCTTGCAGCAGCTTGTCTACCTCTCTAAACAGACGAAGAACCCATCTGGCTGAGACTCACCACTTCTTTGTCACTCTTTTTCTATTCTGCCGGTAGAAGGAATTCTTTTGTCTTCAGGCTCGGCACCAAAACAAACCCCTCCTCGATCGTCTCGTAATCAAGTCCTTGGCCATCGACTCGAGGCACCGCTCCGACATCAGTCAGCCTTTTGCAAGAGCCTCTTCGAGTGTTCATCATGGACTCGATGAGGTCTCTCAACACCTCACTCCCCTCAACTCGCCCTGCACCCCCCGAACAACTCCTCCAAGCCTTTCGAACCGCTGCGCTCTCCGTCACAAACCTTTACAAGTCGGCAGTCACAGATCAGAATGCCAGCCGCCAAGCTGGGTACCAAGATGCTTTGGAGGATCTACTCAGTTTCCTGGATAAAGAGAATCTCGGTCTACAAGATGGTGAGGGCTGGAGGGTGAGGCAGTGGGCGACGGAAAGATATGAGGGGTCTACCCACCACCACCAGATCGAAAGCGACGACGAGAGAAGCGAAACCGGTCAAAGACAACGAGCCATCTCTCCAGCAGTCGAACAACCCGTCTCGACCTCAATACTACCTCAGTCTGGACCTACAAGGGCAGAGTCGGGTACCCAAACCGAGGAGCCACAAATTTCTCTGTCTCAGGAGCAACCGACGACGACACCCATGTTTTACTTCAGCGGAAATGCGGCCTCGACACCGCATGACGATATGCAAACAGATGAGGACAGTGGCGCGGCGCCAGAGCCCCAGGCCTCTTCATCAACATCAGGTAGTACGAGCCGAGCAACTTTTGTCAACAATCGAGGAAGTCGCACGCCCCACCGAAGCAGCAATCAAAGACACGGAACACGATCATCGACACGAGAGTTTACTTTCACAGCTGGTACGAAGCGCAAATTCCAGATACCCGACTTTTTTGACATTTCCAACATCGGACCGAGGGAAGGATTCGAGAGCAGCAAGAAGGGAAGGATTTCATGACCTTTGGCCGCACACGTCGGTTTGTGTTTTCGGCGCCATGATCATCTTTCAGCTCTAGTGCATGAAACGGTATATTCTTATGAGGACATGACCATCAGCATGGCGAAGTTTTAGTTGCATTAGAGTACATTGATGTTTTGGCTCATTTGAGCGCTCTAGACAGACAGATAGTCTCCGGGGTTGAGATTCGCCCCTAATCCTGAATGACTCCTGAAACCATTTGCTTTGTTACATATGCGGACCAGCTTGTTGGCTGTGAACAATGACAGACGGGCTCGATCAAATAAACATGCGGTAAATCCCCAAGCCCATGAGCGTTGCGGACAATGATATGATGCCCAGCTGGCGCGAGCCGTATTTGTACTTGGATTTGCTCAGTTCGATGACCTTTTGTCGCGCGCGAAGTTGCTGCATCCCCGAGAAGTAGGTGTAGCCACCTAGGGCCACGAATGCCGTAGAGCCTGGAGGGAGGAAGCAGTCAGCTGTCTGCACTTTGTAGTGGTCTGGAGAGAAGTCCATTCGACCGCCGGCATACCGAGAATCCTGCACGAGAGACAATCCTGTTTGTCGAACGCTCTGGGGTCTTCGAATTCGGGAAATTTGTCCTCTTTTTTAAAAACCATTTTTCTTGCTGGAGGGCTTTGGGCTCCCTATTCACATTTTATATGGACAAATGACGTTGATGGTCTCCAGGCTCCTGGTGGTGGTGGTGAAGGTAGGGGTAGCAGATAGGCATCACTGGTGGTCCATCTCATACAAAGGTAGCAAATACGCCAAGAGAAGTTTGCTGACTTTGCCCAAAGCGAGATACTCACGCATACTGTACGAGGCACGGGTATCTGTGTATCAAGTACCTCGTACATATGTACCTTACTCCAACGCAATACCTACCCCATATCATGATCGGAGCACCACCAGCCCCTCGTTGTAAATGTATGTGCATGGGCATAAAATACTCCCCACAAGTTGAATTACCCTCACAGAGGCCGCCGCGTGGCTGCGTGTTCAGGTGCAGAGCCCGCTACTGTACCGAATACTTACAGTACCAATCTCAATGGTGTGCTGGTGTACGTGTACCATCATGGTTGGTATGCTGAATTTCTAGATCGAGCACGTGTTATGTGTTTGTCTACGTGAGTTTTAGACAACGCGGAAGACTCACGGCGCATTTTTCCCGAAATTCTGAACACTGCGAATAGCAGTTCATGTTCGAGTTGCTCTCCAAATACAACGGATTTTAGGATTTGAGTATACCACCCAACTCGACACAGCCTAAAATATGGCTCCACCATTGGCAAAGACAGACTGCATCGTCATTGTTGGCGCAGGTGTGTTTGGCCTGAGTACTGCTCTCCACCTGGCAGCGAGAGGCTATACCGACGTCACTGTCTTCGACGCACAGCCCTATGAAAATACAAAATATGACTATATCTCCGGCTGTGATTCTGCCTCTGCCGACATGAACAAGATTATCCGGTCTGCATATGGCGAACAAACCGAATACCAAGACCTCTCTAGAGAAGCTATCGAGTGCTGGGAGGAGTGGAACCAAGAGATTAGCACGGGCAGATGTGTACCTGATGGAATGACTAGAGCAGATAAGGTCTTCATCAACAACGGCCATCTCTCGTTGACTGACCGAGATGAACTTCCGGAATTTGAGAAGGCGACCATCAGAAATATGGAGCGAGCGGGTTCCAGCGATACCCAGCTCATCACAACTGACAGCCAGCATGAGGAAATTGCCCGCGAGAGAGGCTTTAGCTACGCAATGGATCCTTTTGAACGCAAATCAAAAGGCAAAAGCTACCTCGGCGTTCTAGACACGACAGGCGGGATCGCAATTGCAGATAGAGCGTGTCGTTTCGCCCTCCACAAGGCAAAAGAGATGGGTGTTCGCTTCGTCCTGCATCCTGACGCCGGTTGTTTTGAGGCATTCTGCCACGACGATCGACAAAGAGTCACGGGGATTAGAATGAGAGACGGCCGAAAACACCTTGCATCGAAGGTCATTATGGCGTGCGGCGGGTGGACACCATCGCTGATCCCAGAGCTCGACGGTATCTGCGAAACGACAGCTGGGTCAGTGGTGATGTTGAAAATCCCACCAAAATCACCTCTCTTCGAACGGTTCGATCCAGAGAGGTTCCCGTCTTGGTCATATAGAATGCGCGATGGGGCCATTGGTGGTCTCTATGGCTTTCCCCGAGATGAAAGAGGGTACATGAAGATTGGGTACAGAGGAACCAAATATACCAATCCTACGATGCAATCAGATGGGGAGGAGCGCAGTGTGCCCGTCACAAGATATACAGCCGGCGAGAAGATTACACAACTCCCCAAGCAAGCGTTGACAGTCGTCAAGTCTTTCATCAGAGAGTTTCTCCCAGAAATGGTCGAGGAAGGGATCGATGTCCAGTTAACCCGACTCTGTTGGTACACGGACTCTTTCGACAACCACTATCTCATTGACTCCTTGCCTGGCCAAGAGTCGGTGCTGGTCGCGACAGGCGGCAGCGGACATGCCTTCAAGTATCTTCCCAACATTGGTAAGTGGGTAGTCGACATCATCGAGGGAGTTGATATGGATCGCCAGTTGGTCAGAAGTTGGAAATGGAGGACATTGCAAGCAGGTCAACAACCTGTGAATGTTCTCATGGAGGGTAGCAGTGTTTCAAGAGCGCTCAAGAACGTGGAAATGTCTACCGACGATGATTTGAAGTTGTCTGCTTGATCTGACTTTGGCATGACATTCACTCAGAGCATTGCTCTGCTCAACACATTTGCTGCCTCGAATCACAGAACTATTGAAACTGGTGACTCAGTGCCCGGAGAAGCCCGAACCTGCTGAGAAACTTCTCGGAGATGGGCTACATCAAAGGGCGTGTGAGTCCAGCTTATGTCTACAACAATGGGAAACAATATCATGGTTTAGAACTTGGTCGAGTCAGAGCTAGAGGCACGAGACCGCAAAATTGGCTCTGACATGTCCAACGCCGCCGCCACCAAGCCGCTTGTTGTGGCTCTCGGAGATCCAAAATATGTCGGTGATGAATTCCTGGCAGAGTTCAAGCGGGAATTCGATTTCGAGGTAACCTGTCTCCAGAGGTGTATGGAGGCCGAGTCTCTAATTGCCAAAGATCCTTCCAGCAACGAATCGGCAGGAAACCCAGGATCTCCTCCCGAAATTCATAGCGAGCTCTCGTCCGGTCGATGCCTTTATCATTCGTATGGGCACCATCCCGTACGAGCCGTTCGATGAGGGTCTTCTAGGCAGCTTGTTGCCTCAATGCAAGATCATTGCCTCTGCTTCAGCGGGTTTTAATGAGTTTGATGTCGACTGGATGACGCGGAATAATGTCTGGTTCTGCAACACTCGCGACGCCGTCGCTGAAGCGACCGCAGACATGGCCATTTTCTTGATCCTGGCAGTGCTGAGAGATACCACCCGAAGCGAGAAGAGTGCCAGGACGGGCAATTGGAAGCAAGGCCTTGTTCCCAGTCGAGATCCAACAGGGCTGACGCTCGGGATCGTGGGTATGGGGGCGATTGGAAAGGTGGGCGATACTGCTCGATGGATTTTGTGGTGTCAACTCTCACTGACTGAACACACTAGTACACGGCAAAGAAGGCCTCAGTCTTCAACCTGCGAGTCAAGTACTACAACCGCAAGCGACTCCCCCCGGACGTGGAGAGGGAGTACAATGCCGAATACTGCTCATCGCTGCACCACCTCCTCGCCGACTCGGACATCGTCTCCATTTCCTGCCCACTCAACGAGTCGACCACGAACCTCATCTCGCACGCCGAATTCGCCGTCATGAAACCGGGCGCCTTCCTGGTCAACACGGCCCGGGGCGCCATCATCGACGAGGAGGCCCTAATCCAAGCTCTGGAGTCGGGCAAGCTGACGCGCGCCGGCCTCGACGTCTTCTGCAACGAACCCAACGTCAACCCGTATTTTTGGGCGAGTGACAAGGTGGTGGTCCAGCCGCACATGGGGGGACTGACGGACGTGGCGTTTATGAAGTCCGAGAGGGAGTGTTTTGAGAATATTCGGAGTTTTTTCCGGACGGGGAGGCCTGTCGCGCCGGTGAATGAGGTGGTGACCAAGTAGGACAGCAGGTAGTCATGATCTATGTTGTCCTGATGTGTTGTGTCGTTGCAGTTTGGAGTTCTTACCAAGTCAAGCATATTAGTATCCAATGCGGTGACATAGACACATCTTCTCTATGACCGTCGATCTTCAAAGGATGTTTCTCTCTCTTGTTCACCACTAAGAAGATATCCCCATATTGTACCGAATAGTGTGTGATGACAGCCACAAGCATTTCCAGAATTTCTTGTATTTTCTTCGATTTCCCTCCCTCCTCCAACAAACTACCAAATCGAGTTCATCAACGACCATTTCTCATTCACCACTCCCTTTCCCACCGCTTGGCCTCTCATTCATTCATCCAATCCCCGGCCCCCCCTTCTCTTCTCTTTGTATGCAGGCTGTCTCAAGTGACACGTTCGTCGAACCTGGATGTAGACACTAAGCAGCATCGTGCATCGATGTGTTGTCCACTTGTCCATGTGGGGCTTTATAAGGAGCACAACTCGAGCACATAACTCGGCCGCTTGTCGCTTGCCATTCCGCCGAGGAGGAAGGGGAGTAAGAGGGGTTTGTTTGTCCATGACAACTCATCCATCTGTCCCTTTCATCCTCGCATCCTCAAGACCACTGGCCGGATGTAGAACTAGCTGGTCAGGTTGGGCCGCCGCATGGCTGGGGTGTGTACTTGTACATGTACAGGAAGTGAGAGAGTGGGGGAGTCAGGCAGCGAGTACCTCCCTATCTAATACCTACCTGCCAGCTAAACCTACCTAAATACTTGGTTACCTAGTACTTATTTACGCAGTATCTCCGTGCCTACTAACCCACGTACGTATCTACGTTCCCTTATGTATGTATGTAGTAGTGACTGACCCGGTGCGTGCTTGGATGGTTAGGGACATAATCCCATATCCCATATGCAGTATCCAGTATCCGGTACCAAATCACCATCCCACACGATCGAGTGTCGTCGAGTATAGTCGGATATAGACAGTCGGGGATAATCGACCCCGGACAATATTGGAGGGATTTATACAAACTACCTATAATACCTATCTCGAACTCCCTAGGTCCTTCTATTTATCTGACATCTATTTCATTCCATTTCATCTCAGCCATCTCATCTCATCCCATCCTATTGAATCTCTCCGCAGAATCTCACCTCACCTCACCTCACCTCACCACACCTAACAATGTCACCCACCACGACCACGACCCCCCTACCGCCAGAAATGCTCGCAGCGCAACTCACAGCCTTCAACACCGCGCCCGTGGTCCAAACGACCAAAACCCCTTCCCTCTCCGAGTTGGGGCCCTACGACCTCCTCCTCCGCACCGCAGTCGCCAGCCTCTGCCACACCGACCTCATGGTCCAAGCGGGGTTCATGCCCCTGAGAAACGGCCTGCCCATGACGCTGTCGCACGAGGGGACGGGCGTGGTGGTCGCCACCGGCGACGCCGTCCCAGAGGAGGAATTCAAGGTCGGCGACCGGGTCATGTCGGGGATCACGTTCCGGGGGTGCG